GGGGGTGATGGGGGGCCTGGATGCCTGGGTCCGTTCCCAGCTCTGGGGGGGCAGCAGTGTCTGGGGGGGACGCATACACCAGATGCCTGAGTCCATTTCTGGCTCCGTGTGTGACCTTGGGGGGGGCGGGGGGGGTGTTGCATGCCCTGCACCGTGACTCAGTTTCCCCTTCTGCTGAGAGGTGCAGAGGGGTCCCTCACGGCCGTGCCCCTCCAGCCCCGCAGGACATTCACCACTCGGGGGGAGAGGCTGAGGCCCAGCTCCTGCCCCGGGGCCTAGTCTGCGGGGCCAGGCCCAGAGAGGGGCACGCACACACACGCGTGTACACACACACGCACACACACGTGTGCATGTCTGTAGCGTAGAAATGCGGCAAGCGAAGGGAGGAGCTTGGCTGGGTGCTGCGGCGCCGTGGGGCTGGGCTGGACTGTAAAGGGGTCCTGGCATGTGCCTGTGCCAGTGCACACGCATGTGTCCATGTATAAGCATGAGTGCGCCTGTTCACGAGTGACGGTGGTTCTGGGGCCTGCTTGTGTCTGTGGTGCTGGCTGAACGCTCATGCTCCCGGTGCTGTTGGCACCCCACACTCGTGTTCCTTTGCACACCCATGCGTGCGTGCGTGCGGCAGTGGCGTGTGCTCACAGGCGTGGGCGATGGCGGGGCGAGGCCCGTGTGTCCCAACATGTCGGCTGGGGGAGTGTTGGGTGTGTGAGGGTAAGTGCGGAGGGGTCCTTGTGCCCGTGTGTGCACACGTGTGTTGCACACACCTGCAAGGACCATCCGTGCTGCTGGTGAGACGTGGGTGCCCATGACCGTCGCATGCCCAGCCCAGCCCCCACGTGTGCATGTGACAGGCATGTTCCCACGTGGGCTCCCACGGGGGGCACAGCCCCTCTGCCCCATGAGCTCCGCCCACCCCTGAAGCTCCGCCCCTGGAGCTGTGATGGATGCCTTCCACATGGGGGCGGAGCCATGGCTGCATTTCAGGGCTCTCTCTGCCCCCCCATGCACCCCCACCGCCACGGCCCCCCCTGGCAGCCCCCTCTGGGCC